TGGGGGTATATTGGTTATATCCTACATTGCGCTAAAAAGGGGCTGTTAGCTTTGCCATGCCTCTGGAAGACAAGGTTAAGCTACTGAACTGCTAGGTGAGATGGTGGGCTGCTAGGTGAGATGGTGGGCTGTTGTTTTTAATTCAGTTTTCTTGGGAGTACTTAACTTCCCTGGGGATAAAAACAGTGTCGACTATTTTGTCTCCAGAGAAGTAGGATTAAATACTGCCACTTACTTTTTTATTTTCCTTCTTTGGCATTCTTCTATTGCAAGTAGAATGTGTTAATTCTAGTGGAATAATTTTAAAAGTTCAGCGGTGTTTATATCGTTTGAAATGACCAGTGCTTCTGTCGTGGAGGCTGTGTGCATTGCAAGCCTAAGCACACCTGCAGCTTGTCTGGACATGTTAGAGTGAGCCTTTAACTAGCTAGCAGAGGCACTGCTCAGAGGAGTAGAGTTGTAGCAGTGCAGTTGGACACCAGGTATGAAGCTCACCTGGGCATTCACCCCGCTCTTGGGTATGTTATCTCTGCTGAGGTTTGCATGTTTTAGGACGAGGCTGCTGGCTAGCTTTAACTTGCTTGAACATGATGCAGTAATACTTTGCCTGGGTAGCATGAGTACCGCTAATAATGAGAATATCCAACATAATACATATGGAGACATTGCTTGTCTTTATTAAGTAATTAGGAGTTTCAGATAATCCTAATTGAAGGTCTTCTGTAAAATGAAGCATTCTGTCTATACTTGTTCCTCCCCCCGCGTCAGGAAGAAAATAAAAATAGTCTGATGGGATGTCTTTGTCTTTGCAGGAGGTGAAACCAATAGACCTACTGGCATTCAACTCTGCTGCTGAACTGGAAGCCCTGGGTTTAGATAAACTGAAGATGGAACTGATGTCTTTAGGACTGAAATGTGGAGGCACTTTAAAGGAAAGGGCAGCAAGGCTTTTTTCAGTGAGAGGTCTGTCGAGAGATCAGATCGATCCTGCCTTATTTGCAAAGCCCTCTAAAGGGAAAAAAAAGTGATTTTTTTTTTTTTTTTTTTTTAAAAAACATCATTTTGTATCTGTATGCTTTTAAATTTTTCTTATTCTGTTGTCATTCTGTACTGCCACATAGAATTCTCTGGCATCCCTGGATAGTCTTTTGTTTCTATTCTTAAGGAAGTTTGATTAATGTAACACAGAGTAAGTTGCTGGTGAGCGAGTTAGTTATGTGTTCAATATTAAAGGAGTGAAACTGCTGTCTTTTGATAAACTTTACAAATAGTGGTAACAAGTCTTAATGCAATAGTTAGAACAAACTCACTGTATATGGAAAGAAATAACCTGAATATTTTCTGGAAAATGGTTGTATGACACTGTCATCACCTATTTTAAGAAAAATAGCAATCCTTTCTTAGCTTTATATTGAATCTCCTTTAACATGTATTCCAGTTATCACAGTTACAACTGTCAAGTGAGAAACATTGAACTTATGATCCAGGCTTAAAAGCTGAAGTTTCTTTATATAAAAAGAAGATTTTTATATGGATGAGGTCAGTATAAATAAATACACTGTGCTGTGAGTTTTTGTGGGATGTCAGGTATCAGTATGATATAAATTATTATGGCATGTAAGTATTTCCTTTAGAAGAAGTTAAATAAGGTTATTCACTTATTTTGCTCTGGAAAAGTTTCTGAGTGAGGGAAAAGAGAGAATCACATCCTTAAGAAATTAAAAAGAGTAAAGTACACTTGCTGGTTGCTGAAGGTTAGTAACATACAGCGTGATCCTCTGAAGCTGAATGGGACATTTAGTAGGATGGGTTTTAACTTTCTTTTCAGTGGTAAAAGCAATGGAATTGTCTCCCAAGGACTTAAATATCTGGAAGGGTGGTGCTTTATCCTAGAGCAGTGTCTGTAATCTCAGTGCTGGGATTATCCTGTGAGGTGGCAAGGGCCGCTTGCTGGAAGGGCAGCATGCTCGCATGACTGTGGGTGCAGCTGCCACTTCTCTGGTTTGAGAGGCCTTTAAAAAATGTTTAGTTCAGTGCCTTGGATTTCAGATTTTACCACCATATGCTGGAGAATATTATGTTTATGATCTACTTATCAGACTTTCTTCTAGAGATGCTTGAAAAATTAAAAATTACCTCTCTCCTGTTCTAACATCATACCATCCGCTTACCTATTTTAAAGTTTGGCTCATAAAGTAAAGTTTTGAATTGCAATACTGGTAGGAAATGGACTTCAAATGCTCGGAAATCAGTTCACTCGAGTAGTGCTTAATGTTTCTGACACGAGCAGTTTGTATCTGGTATTTCAGTCGGTTTTGCAGTCTTAGGACCTCTCTCCTCAGAAGCCTTTTGTTTACGCTTGGAAGTTTTGGATTGAGAGAGGGTGTTAAAGCTTAGGGATTCGTTTTGGCAAACTTCTAGGGGAAAGCCATTAACACAGCTGCTCCAAAATGGGTGCAGCTGCTCCAAAATGCTGGTTCACCTGGCAGTTTATCCTTCCCCCACCAGCGCAACCTTCCCAGCTTTGTTGTAAAATGAGGTGGGAAGGCTCACTGCCCCGCAGGTTTGTGGTGGTGGGTTTTTTTTGTGTGTGTGTGTGTGCGTGCGTCCGTCCGTCCATCCCGGTGCGGGGGCCGCGGGGGCCCCGTGCCGGCAGGTGTCGCTGCGG